AGAGAGAGAGAGAGAGAGAGAGAGAGAGAGAGAGAGAGAGAGAGAGAGCAGCCGTAGAAAGAATAGAAGGAAGATAGTATTCAACGCTGAGCACGAAAAATACGCAGCGAAAAAAACATAATGTTCAATGCGGCAAATAAACAGCTCCGGTTCCAATCGAGCAATCCGACTGATAACCAGAGAAATAATCTTGATCAGAAAACTGCGGTGGGGAATGTCCCCCCCGCTTCTACCACTCACCACAGTTCGAACTTGAACTCGAATTATGTTCAAAATATGCCCCTACCGGTACCCGTGCCAAATTTCCTTCACGCCCCTACCGGCCGGCTAAGGTAAGGTCAATTGTGCAGTCCTGACCTGGTCGACACGCACGCGATGTTCTGGGTTAACCACGTCCGTTGATCTTTACAACAACGCAGCGGCCGTTACGAAGCCAAACCAGAATCGCCACCATCTGCATAACCAAACCTGTCGAGCGTCCAATTGGAAGCGTTTCGTGTCGAGGATCCTGCCCCGTCAGCTGGCAGGTGAACCTTCCAGTATTATTCCTCTGATTTAATGATTAATGACAAATGGTCGTATCACCATTACCCAACGTAAAGAAATAAAGTTCAATTAGACAGTTCAAAAAGAACAGGAAGAATCAGCAAACGACGTGCACTCTCCATCCGCATCATTTATGACATCCCAGCAAAGCGTCCGCAAGGACGTCACTTATAGCATGCCCACCCATCAGTTGATCTTCGCTCTCCCCAGCACTTGTTCCGACAGCAGAGTTGATTTAATTGAAAACACAACAGATCAGGCCTGTGCTCTTGTGAGCGCATGCGCATTTGCCTTCCTTCTCAAGACAGGGACTAAGGTTCAGCGGGAGTCGAAGAACGACCCAAGAGAAAGAGATGGGGGAGGGATAAAGTAAATTGAAGGAGATCAGGTCTAGCACACAGTGCCCACTTGAAGAAGAGCAATAAGAATCAGCAAGCGACATGCACTCGCCATCGCCGCACTTGTGAGATCTCCGCAAAGCGCCCGCCAGCAAGGGCATGTCTTATGGCACGCCCACCGACCGTTTGATCTTTCCCTCTTCCCAGCAATTATTCCCGAATACAGACAGTTGAAAACACAACAGATCAGGCTCGTGCTCTTGTGAGCGCATATGCGTTCCTTCTCGGGACAGGGACCGAGGTTTAGTGGGAGTCGAAAAACGACCCGCAGGAAGAGATGGAGAGGGGAATAAATTAAATTTTAGGAGATCAGGTCTAGCACACGGTGCCCAGGTGCCCGTTAACAGCAGCAGCAGCAGCAGCAGCAGCAGCGCAAGGCGGGGCCGTCGTGACAGAGGTGTCTTCTGCCATATGCTCTGCCGTGGGCTTCGTTGCCGTGGGCTTAGGCGCCGACTTGCGTCCCCGGCTGTTGGGCTCGAAGACGTACTTGATGAGCGAGTCCCGGATGTCGAGCATTTCCGGGAATTCCTTCTTGAGCTTGGTCCCGTCAAGCTCATTGTTGCTCCTGGCCGCGACGATGACCTTGGCCTGCTCCTCCAGCGTGAAGTTCTTCCACTTGAAAGTGGGGTCGATGTAATCCCTATACAACTCGAGGATGTCGTTGTGACTGATGGGCATGGGGTTGGTGAAGTTGTAGATGCCCTTGCAGCCTCTCCTTGCCATCTCGACGGCGTACGGCAGCAGCTCGTCCAGCACCGTCATGGAGTTGGGAATGTTGACCACCTTCTCGTACCTGGTGATCTTCGTGATGAAGTTCCTGGGATTTGTCAGATCCGACGTGATCGGCATTCTGACGCGCAGCGTCAGCACGTTGTCGTACGCTCTCAAGAGCTCCTCGACCATGCCCTTGGTGAACGAGTAGAAGGAGCCCGCGAAGTTGGCCCTCTCCTCCTCCGTGAAGCCAACGCCCGAGCCCAGGGGGTGTGCGTCGTCGTACTCGAAGATGCATCCCGTCGCGAAGTTGGTGACGTGCAGATTATGCACCTTGCACACGTCGACGAGATTGAGGGTTCCAATCACGTTCGCGCGAATGGTCTCCTCCCTGTGGCTCTCGCACCAGTCCACGTTCGGTCTTCCGGTCACGCCCGCCGCGTTGAAGACGTGAGTGGGCTTGACCGCCACGATATCGACCGCCAACGAAGCTCTGTCTTCCAGGCGACCCGACCCGTACACGTACGGAATGCCCTGCTGCTCGCACAGCTTGCCCAGCAGCCCGCCGATCCAGCCCGTGCGGCCGTAGATCAGCGCCTTCATGGCGACAAAGCCGCCGCCCATCTTAAGACGGGGGGGCACCACCATCCCCGTCGGAGTTTTCGGGAGCACGTTCCACGAGTCCTTGGCCGCCATCGCCCTTGGCGTCAAGGACAGAAGGGGGGCGACGACACGCCTCTCGGCGCCCTCTCTCCMCTCGTCCTCCTCGTCTCCGAGGAGCATGGCCTTCTCCCCGCCGAAGATCATCCCCCTCGGATGCGGCACCAGCGCGCCCGACACGTCCCCCCAGTAGTCCGGATTGGCGAGGTACCAGTCCATGGTCTTCTTGAGACCCTCCTCCCACGGCGTCTTCTCCGCCCATCCCAAGGCCTTGAGCTTGGCGTCGTCCAAGAAGTACCTGTGATCGTTGAACGGTCTGTCCTCCACGTACTCGATTGTCGTGTTGGGATCGCGGCCCATCAACTTGCAGATCTCCGTGGCCACCTCCAGAACCGTTCTCTCCCGCTTTGTCCCGATGTTGTACACGTGCCCCACCTCCCCCTTGTGAAGGACGACTTCGAATGCCTCCGCCACGTCTTCCGCGTACAGGTAGCTGCGCACGTTCGAGCCGTCCCCATGGATGGGYAGGCTCCGCCCCGCCTTCGCCAGCAGGAGGAATTTGGGGATCAGCTTCTCCGGAAACTGGCAGGGACCGTACACGTTGTTGCCACGCGTCGTGATGAAGGGGAGACCGTACGACCGCCCGTACGCCATGACGAGCATCTCCGCTCCCGCCTTCGTCGCCGAGTAGGGATTCGTGGGCAGCAGCTGGCAGGCTTCGTGATTGCCGACGATGGCGTCCGCCTCCGTCTCCCCGTACACCTCGTCCGTGCTGACGTGGATGAACCGCCGCACGGTTCCGGCGACCTTGCACGCCTCCAGAAGCACGTGGGTCCCGTAGATGTTGTTCTTCGTGAACTCGAACGAGTTCCCGAAAGAGTTATCCACGTGCGTTTGCGCGGCGAAGTGCATGATGGTGTCGATCTTCTCCGTCAGCAAAAGGTAATTGACCAGATCCGCGCTGGCAATGTCGCCCTTCACGAATTTGAAGTTCGTGCACCGCATGGACGGCTCGAGGTTACGGAAGTTGGAACAGTAGTCGAGCTTGTCCAAAACGACAAACTTGTACTCGGGGTAGAGGCGGACCAGACGGTTGGCCACATGAGAAGCGATGAAACCGGCAGCGCCAGTTATGAGTATGATCTTCGGCGTGTACGACGATACTGCAGTCGAAGGCGTTGCGCCCACATACGCATCGCCAACGACATCGCAGGCGCCATTCGCAGTTCCTTCCGCCATCGCCAGAGCTGTCTTCTGCTCCTCCTCCTTCCACTCCTTGCTTTCTTCTTCCCCTTTCCGTAACTTTTTCTCTTGTCCGTTCGCAAACAAACCCTCGCCGAGCCTTCTCCCGCGCGACGGATCTGGTTCTACTACAGCTGCTGCGCGAGCGCGCGTGTCAACGCTGCACACGTCCCCGTTCTCTTCAGGAGACGCGTGCGTCGGCGATGTGATGCTGCTGATCTTCTCAACACCGGGCTCCGCGCCCCTTCCCCCCGGGCCCGCTCGTGACACGAGAGAGAAAGAAAGAGAGGGAGCCGGCGCGGCAATTTTCGGGAGCAGAGCAGACGATCTCAATAATGCGTATCACACTCTGCAACGAGAGGCGCGCAACTTGATTCGCAACCGAGGTTCCGCGTTCGAGGACGTCGAAAAGAGCCAACAACCTCTCGCGGAACCGCCCCTCTCTCTCTCTCTCATCTTATACGGGCGTGGGTGTAGTTCGCTGCTCCGGTGACGGGGAAACACACGCATGCCCCTCTCTCTCTCTCTCTCTCTCGCCTGCTGAAGCTCCTCGCGACCTTGTTCAACCTCCTCAGTATATCTGGACAGAAAGCCGCGAGGAAGAAGCATTAGACAAGCTAATGCTAGAGTGTCCCCAAAAATCAACGTCATGAAAAATCATTGGAAAACAAGGAAAGCATTGAAGTCGCGTCTAGCGGGGGAGGGGAAACGTGGAGAAGGGGGAAAGGACGGCGGGGAGGAAAGGTGGAGAGGAGGGAAGGACAGAAGGAGGCAAGGAGGGAAGCAAAGAAGGATGAAAGAACGATGAGAGAAGAAAAGCAGGGATGGAAACGAAGAGGGGCCGACGCGACAATGGTGTGGAGACGAGTACGGAATGGAACGACGAATGCGGAACGAGGGGAGGGGATGATGATGGAAGGAGAGAATGTGTGCGAGGGGAAAAAGAGTGAAAGCGTCGGGGAAGTTGAATAGGGAAGGGAGCAAAGGAGAAGGATCGGGGGGAGAGGCAGCAAATTACAGGAGGAGAAGGCTAAACCATTACATGTTGAACTAAAAACAACTTATTTCCCTGGTCATTACAAACAAAAGATTTGGCACAAGGAACATCTAGCCATTGAAACCAATTCAGTTGCGTCGTACACATCTACAACCTGATTGACTGACCAAATTAAATGACTGACTGCGGACCAATGGACTGGTGGGCTTAAAAAGAGAGAGAGAGAGAGAGAGAGAGAGAGACGTTGACAGAAAGGGAGGTTTAGAAGGGCAACCAGGGCTGGGACAGACTTTACTCGTCCATCGCCGACTCTTCAGGATGGTGAATGACAGCCAGGCGAGTTCCCTGCCGATGCTTGAAGCAATAATCTGCAAACCCAAAAACCACAGCGGACTATCGGCTCA